TTCTTAAACAAATAGTGTTGTTCATTCTTAACATACTGGTTCGTATTTTTTAACTCTTGACCTTCATTTTCACTCTCGTGTTCTTCATCTGTACCATCTATGTCTTCCAGTGGTAACAAATCTTTATCATTTGCAAACCAATTACGTACTTCCGCGTTCACGAAATTCTGCTCAGTGAGATCATTCATCATATCTGAAACATCTGTTAAATATTTATGAATTATTAACAAAAACATACTAAACGAACAATTTCAGGCTTAACTGTGCGGTAGTTTACCTTTCAGTTGAGTCAGAGGAATCACATCTTCAGCGTCGCATTAAGTATCTGGGTTGGTATTTTCCAATTTTGTGCCAGCACTTCTCTAAAACTTCGGAGAGACGTTTTCCCAAACATTTCATAGTACAGCAGATCTATTTCGTTATATAGGCTAAAAGATTTTTCTGCTAAATAATTTTGTCAGTCCAATGGCATTTTGGTCCATAGGCTGCAGAAGTGCAATATAATTAGGTGGAAAAATAATGTTGTAAATTGGTCATCCTCACTAGTTAGCTTTTCTATAATTCCATGGATTGAGGCGTTTTTGATGATTAGAGGTCTTTCAGGCAAATTAAGGCTTCATAAAAGAGCCATAAAAATGTCTAAGAAAATTGCTGTAGTCATCCATGCATTGGCGGATGATTTATATGTAATAGGTATATTTACGTTTTTAAAAGCACTCGAATTTTTTGCCTTTCCTGTCACTAACAATTATTAACAAGTAATTAACAACAACTTAAGAATAAATTCCAAACACAACTTCTTTCCGAATAAACCAACAGAAATTGCTTCAAGGATATTAACTAGCCTTTGCACAAATGAGCAAGAGATTACAATACCTTACATAGATTACATATCGGGTAGGCGGACCGACCAACTGTGCACCGCGACCCTAAGGATTTATTGTACCCCGATAGATATCGTTATCAAATTTCACCGTGCAGTCCAATGCTCTTAACGAACATTAATACCTTGCTCGGTGAAAGGTCATTCAGATCCTTCGGGGAGATAAACTGCGACCCAAAAATCGAAAATTTGATACGGTTAATCAGCACATAGTCGGCATTCAACATCGTCGGCTAGACCCAACAAGTTGAGGTGTACTTTTAATCGGCAGTGCCCAGTAATGACACCGATTAGAACTTTAATGCTGCTACGAGCACGTCCTAAAATATTCACGGGTTTGACAGTGTCGATGTTAATAAACACTTCAGCATGTCTCATTCCAGTAGAACTGGTCCACAGTAGGCGAAGTTCACCCCTCTCTTAAGAAGGATTATAACACCCTTGTCAATAGCAAATACTTTCGCCTGGAATACAGTACAGTACGCACCCAGGTTGTAAGCTTGCTTAATCCGAGGTTTCTCGTAGTATACTCCTACTCCGACCCCTTCCGGCATTTTTGATCCATCTGTGAACATGCAAATATCTGCCTGAACCAGATAATTTTCATTTCGATCCAGGATTGCCGTTCAGCAAGTACAATCTGGTATCGAGCATTAATAACTGATAGTGATCCCGCCAAATCTGACGGCATTATAATGTTTTCCGCAGCCCATTGGTAGGACATGTCGGAACAGTTTTAAGCAAATTGTTTAAATCTGTAAATGGTAGTTCTCTATATGAAAATGCAAAGGAGATAGGCCAAGCAGAACATCCATTGCTAGAGTTGGTGTTGTGCTTATCGCACCAGAGATTGCCAATGCGGCTACTCGTTGAATTCCTGAAAGTTTACTGATAACTGAAGTCTGTCGGACTTTCCTATACCAGTCTGCTGCTCCGTATGTGATCATAGGTCTAACCGTAGTCATATAGAGCGAGTACAGTCTTTCAGGGCTAAAACCCCAATTTTTTCCACAAAGATTGCGACAAGTCCACAAGGATAGTCTAGCTTTGTGCAAAACTCCCTGCAAATGTCCATTCCATGAGAGAGTTTTGTCTAGGATTATTCCTAGATATTTGACTTCCTTTGAGAAAGAAATTTCTTCACCTTGAATAGTTGTGCGCATTATTTCATCCAACTTTCGTCTGCTAGTGAAGGGCACAACAATTGTCTTTTGCGGGTTTATCGAGAGGAGACAGATATATTCAACACTATTATGCAACTAAGTAATAGTAAATCGGAAGATTACTATAGAATGACAATATATATATTAAAATCTATTGTACATGTCATTGTCCAACCATTAAATACAGTAATCAACAACTGTTTTGAACAATTTATTTTCCTCAACGGATAATCCGAACAATTTTCGACCATAGCCATCTTACCAATTATGTCAGATATTTGAGTATTTGCTAAAAGCGCCTTCTGTCATATTTATATAAAGAAGATGTGTTTAGTAAAGACCAATATGGTTATGTGGGAAAATCCTCCACAACTAAAGCAATAATCGATCTACTTGAGAAAGTTCTCAACGGTTTCAACGAGTCCAAAAAGTCTGGGTGCAGATGCTGGATTTAACAAATGCATTTCATTGCGTAAATCACGTAATACTGTTAAGTAAATGAAACAATTACGGTATAAGGCACCCGACGATTTCAATGTTTAAATCTTACTTGACAAACCGAAGACAACTGGCACAAAACGGTAATTGCAAGTCGAGTATTAAAAAGGTTGGGATTCGTGTGCCGCAGGAATCCATCTTGAAGTCAATTCTTGAAAATATCCAGTACTATAATGTTTTCAGACGATACAACTCCGGTTAACGAGGCGATTTCCAATGATAAGCTAAAAGAAGATGAAGTTTTTAGTCGGATGGCCGCTTTTAACTGGTTTAAAGCTAGTAGACTGCAATTGGATGAGAAAAATACACAAAGAATCGAGTTTCACACTAAATCCACTAATGCAACAACTGCCAAACTACTGGGAGTACTCCTAGAGAGTTGTCTGAAATGGAATGCACAGATACATGAAGTAGGAAAGAAACTCATTGCAGTAGTTTTCCAGCTAAGAACAGTGATGAGATTGACAGATCGACATACACAATGGTTATGTATTACTCGAATTTTCAAAACATTATGTCTTATAGTGTGTTGTTCTGAGGAAGTTCCCCAGCAGCTGAACGAATATTTATAATACAAAAAGGAGTAGTCAGGGCGTCGATGAATGCAAATCAAATGGAGAGCTGTAAACCATTGTTCAAAGAATTAAAAATAATGACTGTCTATTCGCTAGCTCTAAAGTTATCATTTCCATAGGTTTCAGTATAAAACTGTTTTGCTTTGGCAGATAAAATTTCATAGGAAATTGGAATGTGTCTTGATCGTTGTGTATAAAACCATGTATACAAATGAGTTTCCATTTTTCTGACACCAGGACCGGAATCACATTTAGCAATAAATCTAAAAGAAATTCCATAGTAAATGTCCAAAATCATCTTTAAAATAAATTAAACATACCTTTTCAGCTTCTTTTTACTCTTTTTTATATCGGATATTGTTGATGTTCCTACTCTGTATTCACTTACCAACACTTTTCCACTTTCACCACGAACTAGTCTTCCTAATATGTTAAATGGTGGTTACAATTCACATTATTATTATGCAATTGCAAATACGATGGAGTTGCTATGCAAAGTATGACTAATATGTTTGTAATTCATTATTGTTTTTGATATATTCTTGAATAAAGAATATGCTGAAATACTTTGAATGAAAAAGAAACAAGAAATAACCTCAAATAAAATTAAGTAATGAAAAGGGAAAATCCGAATGAGTGGGAAAAACTATTACAATGGTGTCAGAAAAGATACTCTTTTCTCAGACACTACTTGCTTATTCTTAGAGGCGAAAGGAATTTTTCCACACAAAATACGGTAACTCTACATGAAAAGTCCTAACTACAAGAACTCGGATTATCCTTCCAAAATGCTGAAAATATTTAAGGGTTTATAAAACAGCCTTAAATTAGTACTAGAAGATGGAAATATCCAATTTTGCTCCGGGAAGAATAGGACACAAATATCTTTTATTACCATGTCACCATGATCTCAAAGTGCAAGTCAAAAAAATGGGACAAATTTCTATCGTTTAGTTCAACGAATGTTTTTGAAGAGTTTCTATTAGGAATGGAAAGTAGGTACATATTACAGAATATTTAATAGCCATGATGTATATAAGTGGACACTCAAAAAATTCCTCGTTAATCATGTCAATGTTTGGTGACAACTTCAGCTTAAATGTCTGAGTAAGATTAGTTGGTAATAAGTAAGGTCCTTTATTGTTCCGTGTCGATTAGGAGAAGAAGAATATATAAGATTTTTAGATAATTAGCTTTCTGAATTACTTCACTGTCTACAAATAGTTCAGAAATGTTTAATGTAGTGCAAGAATGGAGGCTGCTTTAAACCAATTTCTGACAGAAAGTTTCAACAAATTGGTGAATTGGTGCTAGAAATAATGTGCCAAAAACAAGATTAAGTGACGGAGAAGGATCTTTGAAATAGTTAATAGTTTTCAAAAAGAATGGCAGCAATGTTAACTCTTTCCTATGGTCAGCATTTTTACCGACGTTGTCCGATCCCTAGATTCCACCGTTTCCGATCCTGCCACTTGCCCTCATTGAGATTCCTATCACTCATCGCTCTTCTAAGTTCCTCTGCCCAGCTCTTCTTGGGTATTCCTCTCGCTCTTCATTGCTTTTTTCGGTAATCTGACATCCGGCATTTGTTGTACATGGCCATAACATATAAATTAATTTTTCTCAATATCTTTCATTGCTGTCTCTTACTGAATCTTTATTCTTGAACATGTCCGAATAATTACACTATATGAAGAAATTGTAGAACTTGTTACTATTTCATAATTTGATCTGTTTTTCGACGAAGAATTATAAGAATCTTCGTTTTTTTATTATTATTTAACTTAAAAGTATACTTATTAAATGAATGAAATTTGAATGGATGCATTTAAATAATTTATATATTTTAAAGGCTTTGAATTTTCTATTTAATTTAATTAGGTACGTGAAGATTTTCCGTGTGCATTAGATGAACAATTACGTGAGCAAAGATTAGCAGAGCAGGCTGCCGCTGTTTATCACAAAATGCTTCAAGAGCAAGAAGAAGTTGATAATCAAATAGCGCGAGATTTGGCAGAAAAGTTAGAAAAAGAAGAACGCATGAAACGGAGACAATTAGAAAAAAAAGACGAAAACGTAGCGAAGCTGTTATCGAAAGATTCTCCAAAGCGACACCCACCTCCACCAAAGTTGCCTGAAAAATCACCTCATCGTCCTGATAAAACTAACTATTTTGCAAATTTACCATCAAACATTCCTCGAAAAGCCCTTCAAATGCCATTACCGAACGAAATGCGACTACAAATAAGAGAGGAATACATGACACCCGAAGATTGTATAGAATTATACACCGAACCATACGATAACCATAATAAAAATACAATTCCAAATCAGCAAGCGATTATATCGAACCACTTCGAACGTTTAGATTTACAAGAAATTGGTGTCCCAATTGATGAAATAACCGAAAGAAAAATTCAAGAGGAACGGGACGCCGAATTGGCTCGACAACTTCAAGAACAAGAAGGTGCGGCCGAAGAAATTTTATTAAATCGTGACAGAATGTTAGCGATTGAAGCGAGAGACAAAGAATTAGCAAAGATGTTACAAGAACGTGAACGAGCCAAAGTGAAACGAGCTAGAGAGCGGGCCAAACAGAAGGCTCACGCGAAGAAACAGATGGAAGAACATCAACAAAAACTCGACACCAATCAGTTATTGCCGGACGATTCATATGCGTTTCCGGCGGATTTAATTCCTCATCGTGGGCAACCGCCCGTTTTTATGCCACAAAAAAGTGTTCTGGAGGAGGATAGTTATAGCAATCCACTAGATGTACTTCATCAAGAGGTGAGGTATTCGCCACAGAAGAGTTTTGATGGCAGAATTCAGAACGGCGTTAAGAATTTGAAGTATAACGATAAAGTGCTGGGTGATGAGGTGCCTCCTCCTTATAGACCTACTCAATTAGATTTAAGGTAAGTTTCTGAATATAGTAATTTATAAAACTTAAAAGTTAGTCTTAATTTGCAAAATTCATTACGACTTATACCAGTTTTTTAAGTAGATTTCTGTAAAACATTTTTGTATTAAATAATGCAATGTATGTACAGGATGGTTCAAATTAGATGTCCAAATAGGCTAACTCGGAAACTATAAGAGTTAGAAAAAAGTAGCTTACATGTCATGATCTCGTTTTTCGAGAAACTGCTAATGCCGAAAACCTCATAGTGCTATCGTCTTTTGTTTTTCCGTTAGAGGCCAAAATTGAAAATATCGTAAAATCAGCAAGTACAATTATCTTGGTTATTATTATAGGTTGAGTATTATAACTAAAACATTATATGGACACTTTTTTACAGAGAATTTGATGACGTAGTCAAAAACATTTTTTCGGTTTTAGATTTTGAGATATCATAACAATTTTCATATTTTTAAATGGAAACAACCACTGATTATTCGCTTATTAAATTCATTATTTTTTTCTGATTACAAAAATATAGGGTTTGACAGGTCTATTTCTTATTGGGCGCGTTCACCAGAGAATTCCGTTTACGTTGGCAAACGCAAACGGGTTACGATTGCGGTGGTGATTGGTGAACGGCCAATGTTTCTATAGACATATGGCTTGATAACAACAGATGGCGCTTTAATGACATTTATTTACAATTTTAATTCATTTATAGGTTTTCAAAGATAGTATACACTAACCCATTAAATAAATAATTTCGGGCTTCTGCCATTCTTTTTTGTTGATTTTAAATTTAAAATAACACCAAACACCGTTTGCGTTTGCTAACGGAAAAATCTTACGATTGATAAAATGACGGCCGTTTACCAAACACGTTTGAAGTTAGCGTTGCGTTCACCCATAGATTAAATAAATATATATACTTATATAGATGGCGTGTTCTCCACCTTTAAAAAAAAATCTTTCAAATTTGATTTCCTTGTTTTTTGAAAACTGCATGATAAAATTAAACAGAAACAATTTTCGCTTATAGCTAATTTGTTTCTGCAAAATTTCAACATACACAGTTATCAAAAGACAATTATATAGTGTAACAGGTATTATAATGTTAATAATAAAACAAAATTTGATAATAGTTATTTATATTACAAGTGGGCTAGAAACATAATTACAGTACGAGTGTGGAGAATTGCACGACGAGGTCGTAGACCGAGTCGTGTAATCACACGAGTGATATGCATTTTGTGATATGCATATGTGATATGCATTTTATCTACGACTGCTAAAAATTACTAAAAAATCAATTTCTTTAGAAAAGTCTATTTGACATTTATAAAAATATTTGATGATGACAAAAATGATTGTTGACAATTTTGAATTGTCAGTTTCATTCAGTTTCAGTCAGATCTGGAATAAGTGTTTTGAAATGTAAAAACATAATAATTAATGTTTATAATAAATAGTATTGTTTCTCTGTAAGTAGATAGCACTTTTTCTTTTGTATTGTTGCTCGTTTCAATAAATTAAGTCTGTTCTGATTAGGCTAAAAATGCGTTACGTAATGAAACCAGTGCGGTAGTGAACTTCATTACGTAACTCTAATCATCTCAAATGAGTGCGGTAATGATGACTTATCCAAGCAGTCGTAGATAAAATAAATTACATACAAGTAATAGTATATTATTCAACAAGCGTATAATGGCGGCTGTTACCCATGAAGAAGAAGTTGCAACACGAGCGAGCGAAGCGGGCGAGTGTTGTAATCTGAGTGGGTAACATCCATTATACGCAAGTTGAAAACTATACTTTATCTACAACTATTTAATTTTGAAAAAAAAATCAAAAAAACGAAAAAAAAATAAACTTGATAGACATTTCAGACATAACCTCAATATAAGAAAGCTGTCATTTCTGTTAATATTTTATTTTTTGATTAGTAGGCAGTGTCAGAAGTGTGGAATAATGGCCTCATTATTCAACACTTTGTCTGTCATCGGTAATGAGTGTCATTACCCGTCAAAAATCAATTGTATAACGAATAGATAATTCAATAGTTGTAGATAAAACAACAAAATAAAAAAACATATAAAATGAAGTAAAAAAAGTATGTAATAAAAAACTATAATTAAATTACAAAATTATTTTTTAAATAAGCACAATTCACTTGATTGTTTGGAAAAAGACATCATCAAGTGCATCAACCCCCGATTTTTTTAAATGTAAAGAAAAATACAAAGAATTATTAAGGCGAGTTTTGAATAAAAAAATGGGCATTAAATCGTAGATGTGCCCTTTTCTAAATAACCTATTCAATTAACAAAAAAACTAAAATTAAAATAGGAGAATTAAATTTGTAGCTATTTTTTGTACCATTTTGAAACTAAAACGAAATAAAAATTATACAAAATAAAACTAAAATAATATAAAAAATATAAGCTAAAAAACATCAACCTTAATTGTTCTTTTAGTTGCTCACTTCATTAATCAATCTTAACATTAACAATACTTTCCTTTTCAATCTTCTTGTCACTCACTTGTCACTATTCGTTATAAATAAACTACAAGCCTGCTATAAATAGTTTATAGATTATTTCCTAGACAACTAAAAATCAAAAATGTGAACATTAATTCAATCGGTAAAGAAGCTGTTCTTGTGTTGTATGCTATCAGCGCCAAAGGTATCACGGGTCACAACTAAATTTATTATTGACGCATGCTTATATGTGGAATTAACACAGCATGTGTTTACCAGAAATGTTGCCAACAGTTTGGTCTCCGTTTGCAAACGTTGACAGTTGGTGAACGGCGCGACCAACATTGTTTTAGAATAAAGCTAAAAATAAACTTTTCTTTTAGTGTTGTCGAAGAAATTAAATTTACAGATATATTTGTTGAACTATTTAATTTATATATGTTTTACACATAAGTTGGAATAGATTGCGTTATTTCACATTTTTTATAGTAGACGCCACGAGAGCTGGCAGTAAATCGTCGTTTTCCGCTCTTACAAATGCCCTACGTAGTTCACAAACCGCTAGAGAGTAATGTGTGTTAGAAAGAGATGGCATTAGTTTAATATGTTTGCTGTACAATTCAAATGGCCACGTCGATAAAGTACGTCTGTTCTTCTAAGGGATGTAACTCTATAATTATAACCTCAAATCGAAACGTCTTGTGAGCGTTGTCATGAATCTGTTAGTGTATTCACAAGCCGAAAATGCTTTGTTTGAAAGGAAAATCATTAAATAATAGCTTTGTTCGTTGGGACTGCACTACTTGCACTCACTTGCACTATGCAGTTTAGTGCAGATGTTGTGTGTTCGTTGGGGATACTGCAGTTTAGTGCAGTTGCACTCATACTGTTCGTTGGGCCAGATGCAGTGCAATTTAGTGCAGTCGGTGCAAGTTAGTGCAGATTTTGTTGCACCTGCTTTCGATTAAGTTCAATAAGTGCAGTGTAACTAAAATGGCGGAATATTTAAAAACGTGTTTTGTAATAATTAATATTAATATTAAATATTAAGAAATAAAACCTTATAATAATTAATATTTGTTGTATTAGAGAACACAGTATATTCAATCCCAGTAGAGGCAGTAGAAAACTACCCCTACTTTTTTGGTGGCTGGGGTTAACTACCCTCACCACCCCAAATTTTTTTTGCAAGTACTGCTTATTAATTTTGGTGCAATTTAGCATGTGATTTCTTTATACGTTAAATAGTACTTTTGAAAGAACTAATAATGGTTAGTAGTTTGGTATACAAAATATATTTCGCTAATAATTGAAAAAAATAAAAAATAATAATAATTGATGAATACTAAAAAAACGCTACTAAAAAAAACATTCTGCGATAATTTCATTTTCCACGAGTATTTCGCTGACAATCTCCTGTTCGTCCATTTCAAATATTATACACTTTTTTTTATAAAAATCTGTTCGTTGGGACCACGGTTTATACACTTTTCTGACATGCACTAAGTTGACATGACATTGCACTGAATTACACTTCACTGCACTATGACGTCATACGAGTGCCATGTCGTGCAGAGTAGTGCAGTCCCAACGAACAAAGCTAATATCTTTAACAATGTTTGACACAAGGTTTATAGAACATAAGGGTACCTCATTCCCTATGCCCCTGTAGTATCGATTATTACCCCGCAAATTGACGTCACTGGTTCGATACAGTCAGAATAAAAGGCAGCCTATACGTGCCTATACTGTGGTACAGTCTATATAAAATATTTAAACCTCGCATCGTGTTGTGGGTGTTGTGTTGTTCGTAGAACCAGCTACGTCACTGACCCACCTTGCCTCTCAGAGGAGGAGAATCGGTATTGGGTAACCTTATGTTCTATAGACCTTGTGTTTGACATATAACCTCCATTACTAACATAACCTACATTTAAATGTATGTGGTGAAATAATCTAAGTCGTACGTCCATATCTTGATTCATACCGTTTTTAAGCGATCTGTCACTGCCAGCTGGTTTGCCGCCATTTTGGCTCGAAAGTCAAGCGGGAAATTTAAAACTATGTCGTTTTGTTGATAAAATTACGCAGTTTCCTTTCTTTTTTTTCTCATGGTACTCTGAAGAGTCGAAAGCTCTTCTTACTGCTATTTTTGCAACTCCAAAGGCAACAAGACAGCAAAATTTTTGTAAATAAGTGGTGAGATGCAGTGACAAGTTGTCAAACCGCCATTTTGGCTATACCTGTCGAACCCTATATTTTTGTAATCAGAAAAAAATAACGAATTTAATAAGCGAATAATCAGTGGTTGTTTCCATTTAAAAAAATGAAAATTATCATGATATCTCAAAATCTAAAACCGAAAAAATTCTTTTGACTACGTCATCAAATTCTCTGTAAAAAAGTGTCCATATAATTGCACTTACTGGTTTTACGATATTTTCAATTTTGGCCTCTAAGGCAAAAGTAAAAGACGATAGCGCTATGAGGTTTTCGGCATTAACAGTTTCTCGAAAAACGAAATCATGACATGTAAGCTACTTTTTTCCTAACTCTTATAGTTTCCGAGTTAGCCTATTCGGACATCGAATTTGAACCACCCTGTACATAAAAGACAACGGCTTAAAATATTCTGATTGATCAAATTTGAGAGTTTTTACTTCAAAACAGATTAAACACAAAATTTTTAGTAGCACAAATATTTGGTCGTTTTAAAACACAGTAAAAATGTCGATTAATTTTATCTTTGAAATTGTTTATTTTATTCCACTTCATTTTATCTGAAGAGAAGTGGAAAACTACGAACATTTTGTAACAAACTCAATATAGAAAAAAACACACGTTTTTAAAATGTTCGTAAATTAAAGTACACGAAAACATTACACTTACAAGGAAAGTGTCACAACTGTGCCTCACCGATTTTGATGAAATTTGATACAGTCATAGAATGGACTAAAATCTCGTCATTTTTATACGTGCAGTAATCGCTTCTGGGGCGTGTTATAGGGGTTGAAAGTTGGGGGAAAATGTGCTTTTCGGTTATATTTTGAAAACGAAAAATGCTGTCAAAATTTGGTAAATTAAAATTAATATTGATTTTTAAAAAGCTTTCTTTTGATGTATCACATATATACCACAGTGTGAAAAGGGGCGAACTGCCCTTATTTTTTCAATTTAACAAATTATTTAACAATCACCCTATCGATTTTAATGGCGTTAAATATACCTGTAGTACGTTCAAAAATATGAATTATGTTTTTTCCCATTTGTCTTAAACCCAGTGAAGTTACGGGGGTTAACACGTACCACTTTTACACCACTTTTTGTAAGAATAATGTGATAAAACTGTCAGGTATTTAGAAAATATTTTAAATAAAACCGTAAATTAGTCGAATAGCAAAATGTTTAGTGTAAAGTAAGACACATACGACATTTAGAGGTAGTTGGAGTTACTACCCCCTTAAGGGGGTGTCACCTTGGAGATCCGACAATAAAGATAACTTTAAGATCTTTTGCAATGAGGGCAAAAAGTTTTTAAAAGTGGCTTGTGGGGCTTTAATAAGCAGCTAAAGTTATTGAAATTTCACCCGTTAGATGTCTGCAGATGTCGTGCAGGGTCAATTCATGTGCAGGATTTCTCCTAAACCGGAAGTCGTATAATCAAATTTCGAGTACGATAAAAAATATTCATATTTGACGAAATGGTGCCGATTTTACAAGAAATGTCATATTTATTGATAGAAAACATACAAAAAGAATGATTCTAAATTGACAACTTTTGATACATCGAAAAACGGCTACGTACCTTTCTAAAGTAAGATGATACAAGTTTAACAAAATTTGGAAGGTAGGAAAAATATAGTTTTCAGAAAAAGACATTTAAAGTTGACAGGAACACCAGGAGTCGGCACCGAGAGCGCTTCCAGACAGAAAAGCTTTCCGCAAATTTTTCTGTCAATTGTGTAAGGGTTAGAAGTTAGGGGTAGTTTCTTATAATAAATGTTTAAAACTGTTAAATTTACTTTTATTCTACATATTGGTGGCAAAAATTAAAGTCGTAGAAAAAATGTTTTTTTGTAATTCGCGACGGTAACGAAAGCTCTAACAGTACTCAAACGAGTGCTGTAATGAGACTCCTTACAGCATCCGATGCTGTAATGAGATTTTAGTAACATTTTATGGAACCAGTTCAAGTTGGCGACATTGGGTCATTAATTTTTCTAGTTGTCAATGTGACAATTATTATCTATGGATGTTTAAACACGTTCTTAGCATCGAATACAAGGTCCACAATGATGAGGACATTGAACACTGAGCAATTTCTCTTATTTTGGGAGGTGTACATGAAATATTGTTCTTAGCATCGAATGCAAGGTCCACAATGATGAGGACATTGAACACTGAGCAATTTCTCTTATTTTGGGAGGTGTACATGAAACATTTTTTCAGGTGAATACATTTTGTGTTTTGACAGTTTCTAATTGTCAATTCAAATTTCTATTTTCAAGTGTTACGGTGTTACCAAGTGCTGCATACCTATTTCCCTACATTGTCAAAGTTTTTTTTATTTTTGTTAAAAAAAAGGATAAAAACGCGAATTACAAAAAATAGCATAAAAAACACGTTTCATAAGACTTAAAGCACTTATTCATTAAAAAACTCGTGGCTTCGCCACTCGTTTTTCAACTTGAATTCGTGCATTTCAAGCGTGTCTTACGAAACTTGTTTTTTAATATACTATTGTCGCCCACCGGCAGTAAAACCATTCTTTATGCTATACATTTGCGGTAGTAAAGTGACACTTTCTGCTACTGTCTAGTAAACTGTGCATTTAGCGGTAGGTAAAGTACTTTTTGTAATTCGCGACAGTAATGAAAGCTATGACAGTACTCAAACGGGTGCTGTAATGAGACTCCTTACAGCATCCGATGCTGTAATGAGATTTTCGTAACATTTTATGGAACCAGTTCAAGTTGGTGACATTGGGTCATTTATTATTCTAGTAGTCAATGTGACAATTTTTGTCTATGGATGTTTAAACACGTTCTTAACATCGAATACAAGGTCCACAATGATGAGGACAATTTCTATTATTTTGGGAGGTGTACATGAAACATTTTTTTCAGGTGAATACATTTTGTGTTTTGACAATTTCTAATTGTCAATTCAAATTTCTATTTTCAAGTGTTACGGTGTTACCAACTGCTGCATACCTATTTCCCTACATTGTCAAAATTTGTTTTATTTTTGTTTAAAAAAAAGCATAAAAACGCGAATTACAAAACATAGCATAAAAAACACGTTTCATAAGACTTAAAGCAAACTCGTTTTTAAACTTGAATTTGTGCATTTTAAGCGTCTTATGCTTAACTAGTTTTCTAATATACTATTACCTGTCATAAATTTTGTTAAACGCATTAAAAAAGGCTTCCGTTTTTTGTACGGAGCTATTTTCGAACCAGTTACCTCCTACTTGAAAGCGCACTTTCCATTCCACTATACTATACTTGATACGTAGTGTAACTTTACCGAGGTATATTAACAAAACAAATCGTTTGTCACATGCCATATAACTTATAAGTTACAATATCTTCATATCGTTAAATTTTGAGGTTGGCGATCAAATGTTGTATGCAACACGTCAACAAAATGTCTTTATGGAACTCGCCTGTTACTCGTTTCACTCGCTTCGCTTGTTCGACTCGCAAAATCAGATTCGTTCGATAAAAAATCACTTTGCTGACTTGGTACATAAATAACTATTATTTCATATTGTCATATCACACAGCCGATAAGTGTTACTAAGCAACACTTACCAGCCTGTTTCAATATAAATTCAATATAAACAAACTGTAGCAACACCGTTGCCAAAGAAAAAAAGGTGTTAAAACATGTTATTTTTAACTATTGAAATAAGTAAATGTTTTACATCCTAATTGCTGTTTAACCGGACTCGACAGTTTGAAATAAAATGTTATACGATACACGTCCGGTAGGTCTTATAACAGTACAATTTATAGATATTACGGACGGGGCGACGAAAGAGCCAAGTCTGGAATATCTAAAAGAGTCGTTTACCGGACTTATAATGTAAATAACTATACACATAAGGGGATTTTCAAAATGATCTGGCCTCTCCTCTACATATCCATTTGCAAACCGTGCGTATTTAAAAACATTTATAAACCGAGGGTAAAAGAACTTCTTATGCGTTAGGGACTACAGTTTTAATACCTTATTCCTGTCATGTAAAATTTCCATACTGCTATAATTTAATCTTAGAATCTTGTAATAAAACCATATTCTGGAACCAAATACATCGATAAGTGTTTAAAATTAGTTGTGTACATTGCCAATAACTTCAGGAAAATGGCCATTCCAAGAATCCAATAGTACTAATTTGAAACCAGTGTTTGGAAAATATTCATTTTGTAGTTTTGCTGTCTGTATCTGAACGCCTAGTAGACGCATAACGAAAACAATTCTACGATTTACTTCAAAGCCAGTGTTGAGTAGCGGACCTGAATTTATGGCTCTTCGACCACAGCGACGAAGGAAAACGAATTTTAACATGAGACCTCTTGATCTATCTTCTTCCAATTGCATGGTGTCTTTACTTTCGTGACAAATAACGATGTTAGGTAACGTAGTGAACAAACAAACTAACGTAGTTTCTAGTAAACATGGTAAACAACTCTATCAAACGATATGCAATGAAAACTTTTTTTTTGCACTTACAGAATATCTAGCAATTTCTACTGCTTCTTCTTCTTTGACAAACTGATTACCTTGAAAACAAAGTTTTCGCAGCCTGTTTTTAAATAATTCCAAAAAAATGAGGGTGGTTCCTCCCCTTTTACCCTGTGGTATATTATGTGATACAACAAAGGAAAGATTTTAAAAAAAAGCATACATTTTCACGTAACTTTCAAACCCTAAAACTCGCCCCAGGGGCTTTTACCGTATTTATAAAAGTAGACGTAACCTTGTTTTGGTCCATTCTAAATTCTATACCAAATTTCATAGAAATCGGCGTACAGTTGGGACACTTTCCTGGTAAGTTATAATTATTTTTACGACAGTAGTACTCTAATTGCCTGCTCTAATTACAAGTTTAATTGGAAACATTATACTATGTTTCGAGAAAAACAAAAACGAGGGCAATGTTTTGATTATAAAGCTCAATTTTAATCGAATTTAAATTTTAATCGAAATGATCGTTTATTTTTTGTATTGTTGAAGTAAGAGAAATTGCACTCAGTAACTAACTTTCTTAGTTAGACCAATGTGTTATCACACGAAACCAAATTTTAAACAAAATGTTTTAATTAATTAAAAAGTTTAAAATATTAAAAAGATTCTGTTTTTCTGCTTCATGAATTAATTGATTTTTGGTTCAATGTGGATATATTCAACGAATTTTGTTTTATTATTGTTTTTTTATCACGGAGGTTTTTATTTACAACAAATTAATGTTGTTTCTTTTGTTCAGATCACCATTAAACCGAATAAGTAAACCTCGAATGCCCGATCCGGAACCTTGCTCAGATAATACATCAGCTCAAACAATTCCGTCCCAACAACTTGTTAATATAGCGATGGCGATTGATCCAACGTATCCAAGAAATAAAGGGTATCAATCATCGCCAAGTTACGACACTACCTCAAGTACAATTACAACGACGAGTAGTAGTACCACATCCAGTAGTAGTCCTGGAGTAGCGTTGCCACCGCCGGATATTTCAGAATTAGTGGAGGGCAATTCGAGTCCAGTTCCTCCATACATGCCCATACAAGGTCAACGCAGAACATCTTCACTCGAAAAGAAGCAAAAGAAGAAAAATAAAGATGGTTGTAGACAACAATAAAAATAAATTTGTATACAGATAATTTTTTTTAAGGTACGGTATTTTTTTTTAACTTTGAAATAGGGGTTTAAAAATAAGATATGACTAACTGCCAAAGGTTTTTTTAATGGGAAGAAATCAAAGTCTTTTTAAAGAAATGCCTTTTTTTTGTATTGTGTGTGATACTTTTTTGCATTTATTGATATTTGGAATATGAAAATGATATTTCGTTGAACCGTTTAGATTATCTCTGAATCAAAGTGTTCAGCTGTGCCTCTCGTTTATTCCGTATATTTGTATTCGATGGGTACAATTGGATTTAATTAGAAAAGGTGATGGATCTGTGCATATCTGAATTCTTCACAAGTTTATTACGAATCTATTTTTTAAAAGAAAGTATTTTTTGTAATCTCTTTTTGTATGTTTATGCATATAAAAACTTATTTAATAAATGTTTTTTGAGTTTATTTTTGTTGTTAATACCCTTAAATATGTTGAATTATTTTAAATATATATGTAAAAATAGAATAAATTAATTGATGGGAGAATTATTTATTACAACAAAAACTCTAAGTGAAAATGAAGTTTTTATATAAAAAGTATTTAAAAAATATTCTCTAGTGAAGTTGCGCATGATTCATGATTTAAATTGTCCTTCATGTTTGAAAAAGCATTACTTAATGTAATTCAGCATCATAATTAACCTATTCCGTTCTATTAATATACAAATTCCGGATGTTTTATATAAAATAAATTGGTCAGGTCTTTTCGTAAATTACCACCTTTCGTTGCACAATATATATTTGATAAATTGTTTGTATAAACGCTTTATAGTTGATGAACAAGATAGTTCATCAATATTCAAAGGATATAACAAGAATTCAATATAATTGTTATGTAAATTTCATAAATAATTGTGTCATTTGTAAAACGCAAAAATTATCTGCACGCTTTTACTAAGAATTCTTTTACCTGTTTGATGTTTATTCAGCGAAAAATGACGTGTAAAAAACCGATATTGCGGAAATGTAATATAAACGTTTAGCAAGTATTCTTGCAACAGTTTTCCTCTAATATTTCGTTCGTTTACAAACAAACAGATAAAAGATCGAGTTCTATTAAAATGTTACTTAAAAGTTGATGAGCGTGAAATTATGAGAAAGTTTTGAACCAATAAATAGCCATAAATATACCTGATATTTAACTAACCATGAAAAAACCGTTGTTCAATAGATTTTTTTATAGGGCGTTAACGCATTTGCATCCGGTGTAATTTCCTGAGTAAGACAAAAAAAATGCAATGACTCAGTTATTATACACTCACTGTTTCTAGCGAAATAAACAGCATTAACATATATTATAGCAGTACTTATAGCATTAACATTTTTAAAAGTAAAATTAATTCAATTTATTGCAAGATTTTATATGTACAAGTTAAAATTCGTTAATGTAACATGTTCATAAATTATGCTGATTAAGGGGGCATTTAGATGCGCAAAAATAAGTTCGTTTTGAAGATTTCTTTTTTCATTATGATGCAATTAATTCCAAACATTTTGTTTATTTACAACTATTTACTCATGCTTTATGCTACTATAAAAATATACAGGTGTATCTGAATGACATGCCCAAACTTCAGGGGGTGATTCTTTAGGCAATTTTAAGGGTACTTTGATATATGAACCATGGACGGCTTGGGCTCCCCTTAGGAGCTACACCCCTCCAAAATGGCGGAAAATTTTGGTTTAATTCTTTTTTCTCAAAAACCATAAACGCTAGGAAAACGAAATTTGTGGAATATGTTTAACTCATAGTAGGGCACGTTTTCACCCTATTTGTACTTTCAACTTATCCTTCTAAACTACTAAACGTAACCACCCCCTTTACATTTTTGTTAAATTTTTTTTTATGCAGATGGTAAATACATTAAAAAAAATTTTTTACATAGGTAGATGAAAGTATTCTAAAACTTTTTTGTCTCTCTAAAATTTTTCCAAAAACGACTAATTTTTGAGAAAAAAAATAATAAAGCAAACACTAAAATTCGGATGAAGAATTATACAGGGTTTCCCAAAAGTAACGGATAAATTCGTTAAAACAACTAATAACAGTTTATGGAGAAATCGCTGAGACGGGTCTAAGGATTTATATTTTTTGCAATTTTTTGGTATAGACTTCAAATTTTTTCCGCCATTATTAAACAAGTTATGAAGTCATCGCTATTTTTTTTAAATAGCCCCATTTTATTATGGATTATAAAGAGGATTTTAGAAAATTGATATTAGCTACATAATAAAATTTTCGAGAAATATTGCCTTGAAGTTTCATGATTGCCATACGTAACCATGGCAACCAGTTGTTTCAGATACTTTATTAAGACAATTTTGATATCTGAAACTGTTGGTTGCCATGGTTAGCTACTGCTATTTTGCTATCTCAATTGAATAGGACATGTTCAATAGAATTTAGGTCAGGACTTAACACCGGATATTCCATGATCTGAATTCCACGTTCTTGCAAAAAGTTTCTGGTGATGCCGGCGGTATGCGGCTTTCCATTGTTCTGCATTAGGATGAAATTTTGAGCGACCCCATATGAAGCAGGCACCACATGGTTCTCCAAGATATTTTCGATGTAATTCATGGCATTTAGTATACCAGGAACAACAACAAGATCAGTTCTGTTGTCTATAGTGATTCCAGCCCAAACCATAACAGATCCCCGACCAAATCTATCCACTTCCTGTATAGTAGCGGCTGCGTAGAGTTCACCAGGACACCTACACTGTGTTAATTAATTATCGTACCCGACGTCATCATTGGAAGTATGCAACCAAATACACAAATCACGTATTACAATACCAATACTGTGATATTGGTTACATACTTGTAATGATGACATCGGGTACGATAATTAATTAACACACTATATACACGTACTCGACCGTCGCAACGAGTTAAACGAAATCTGGACTCGTCTGTTAACAGTACAGGCGTCCAGTGACGAAGTTGCCAATCTCTGTGATCCAGAGCAAACCTCATTCGCGCTGCTTTGTGATGCTGCGTAAGGCGTGGTTCGCGGACACTGCTGTGGCAGTACGTAGACAGGAAAGGACAAGAAATCGGTCTTGATTTTGAGTAGTTTTTCGATTTCGACCTTGTCCAGCTCTTCTAACATGTTGGCCAGTCTTCCAAAACCGATTCCACAAACGCTGAATAACCGAAGGGGAAACTCGAAGATCTATACTTACATGTCAAGTGGCCACGCTGAATAAGGGCGACAGCACGAGCAACTTGCACTTTACTAAGATGCCTCATGACGCTTCTAATCAACGAAAATTGACAACTGAATTCATTTGTCATCTTTAGTAGTTTGTCATCTTTCATTCGCAAATTCAAAGCATACTTGACATGTTTCCATTTTGTTTTAAGTTATTAATTTACATTTTTAAGTGTAACTTAGAAGTAACTGAGAGTTGTAACATTGTTTTTGTAATTTTCTTTAGTTAAATATATGCCCTTGAAGTAAACCAAATTTGATTTGTCTAGAACTACTATTTAAAAAGTTACAGATTTCGAAAAGTGTTCCCCTAATTTTTTTGAGCAGGGTATATAAATATATAATAAATATATGTATAGTATATATAAATATATCTCTGTGTGGGTGGGACACAGAGATATTTAGTTTTTAATACATAATGTATAATACAAATAGTGTATTTTTGTTTGCTGATCGAATAGTTGCATTATTCATTTGTTGATTTATTATTTTTCTTGTTAGGTCTGCATTTTGATGTATTTTTAAGAAGATATGATTTTGCAAAATTAATATCTGTGTAGCCAGAAAAACATTTTTTTCCTACTTATTGTGTAATTTAAAACCACTAACGCAAGAATTACTGACTGAAACTTCCAAAAACTTTAATTTTCAAAGAGTAAAGTGTCCTTTATAGAGTTGTTCTAGTGAAAATATTAGCTGTTCCAGATTGCGTTAGCTATAATAAGTATATATTTGCAATATGGAATTGATAATAGAAAAACTATGGTCACAGCAATCAACTAGACATTTCGGCGGCCAAACCTATTTTTAGTTATAATTTCGTAATGCTGTATCCCATAATTTTGATTTTCTAGAACAATAACTAGAACAACCCAGAACAACAAAGAAAATTTGATTTTTCCAAAAATGGGTGGCTAGTTAAAAAACCTTTTTTTCCGGTTTTCTCGCGGAATTTTTATTTTTTCGATTTGCCGCTTTGGAACAATGTAGAACAACTCTAGAACAATCTAGAACCACAATAAAAAATTTAAAAATAAAAAAATGGGGGCTAACTTCCCGCACTCCAATTAAGAAGGGTTTTTATAATCCCGGGATTTCGAGAGCAGAATTCTCTATCCTGTGTAATCCCGGGTTTTATGGGCTACATAATATATGTAATTATAAATAAAAAGTGTTCAAGGTGTTTCTAAGGTTACAGTTTATTCTAACCATAATACAAAGCATTATAAAAAAATCTACCATCCATAGAGCTATTTTTAAAGAAATGTCGGAGAATAAGCAATTTATCTATTGTTTTATCTCCTAAACGAGATTTAAAGTTTGTGTTTAATAAACTTGCTGAAGAGAAGCACCGTTCCCCGATTCCACACTTGTTGGTGGAATAGGGTAAACGCACCAGTGTTTGTTTTTTTTTGTTTTTAATGTAAGTGTTTGACCGAGTCATATTATTTTTCATGTAGATCCCTCTGGCTTTACATAAAATGATCAAAATGTGATCAAATACACATCTGATTCATTTTAAGTTACTTACCCTACATATAAAATATAACATCATAAAGAAATATTTTTTAAAAATTAAAAAGGATAACTATATTTCGCATTTAGTGTTTGACCACTTTGATTACATTATTTGACCAATAATATCTAGTCTTTGACCTTAAAACCGTAAATGTTTGACCGATTCTTAATATAATATTCATTTTCATTATTTTTCCATACTATTTTGTTCACAAAAAAAATGTTTATATTTTTTGACTCTTTAAATGGAGCAAAATGTTCT